CACTGAGGGGAGAAAGGGTAGCTCTAGGAAAGACAGAGCCACGGAGGGCGCAGAGAGAGAAAGGAGTCCCAGGGAGGACAGAGGGAACTGCAGCGGTACAGTAAAGACGGTTCAGAGCTGAGCAATTTGCTGTGCCGTTTGGGACATCTGCATCCTGACCACCGCCCCCCCTTGAAGATGAAAACACCTCCCTTCCAGGAAGCTGATGGAAAATAAGGAGCTTTCTGAGGCAGGGGCACTATGGATCGCCAGGGAAGCCAGGGACAGAGAAGAACCAGAGTCTCAAAGCCAGGGGCTTGCCCCTTGTGAAGCCACCCCAGGGCTGGCTTCAGGGGTGTGTCAAAAGAGGGAGGCTGAATATGGCTTCTTCTTGGGGAGTCCTGAGGAAGAGCTTGCCCCCAAATGGGGCATGACCCATGACACATGGACCAAAGAGTACTGAGTTCATTCAGCGCTGGAGTAAAGCATAGGTATGTGAATGAGACCTCTGTTTCCAGAAGCAAGCGATAACATTAGAATCTGATTCAAATGTTAAAAAATTACCTTTCTAGCCCTCATGGTTGCAAAGAAAAGCTTGTACACATAACCCAAGGGTAACCAACAATGCAGTATATATTCCTGAATCGCCAGGTAGATAAAAGAGCATAGTCCCAAAGATGCTAAGTTAAAGCTCAGTGCCCTAGCAGATGTGACTCCATTCTCCGAGGAGTCCAGGCTGCAGAAAGCTACCCCTGTCCACAGAAGAGGGGACTGCCACGACCAGTCTGTCACCTGAAAAGAGACTAGCAGGAGGGAGCCCGTTGCGACTGAAGGGGTGGCTGTCTAGAGCTGCAGACAGTCTTAATGAAATCCTGCATGGGCAGCCTCCTGGCTTGCTGTAAAACCGGGATCCTATTAAACGCATTAGCATCGGCTAGCGTCTGCAGGTAAGCGCTCTTAGTGAAAAGTGGTCGAAGTCCATACACGATGAGAAAGGGGCAGGACCTTGGATTTTTCTCATGAGACCTACTCCCACAGAGGGGCACTGTGAACTCGCAGGAATTGGCAATGCTTTTTGCCATTCTTCAAGGGAAGATACAAAGGGAAAGTGTCATTTTTGAGGCAAACCTGAACTCTTGCAATGGTAACTGAAGCCCAGCTTCAGAGATGCAATTGGCTCAGCTATGCACAGATCCCCATACCGAGCAGCCTCCACTAGAACCAGCCTCTCCTTCACCAAACGGCAATAGCCCAATTCAGTAGCTCAGTACAGAAAGCTGGTCCAAGTGTACATCCTCTACACTGAATCCTCCTCTGCAGCTCCATAGCCAACAACAGTAACTAGCGTTTTACCATGTCCTTCTTCACCATCAGTGTTATTGCACATGGACAGAGGGCTTTCTCTTCCTGTCATGTAATCCTGGGAGACAGAGAACCCCCTTCCCACCCACACCCCTTTTTTTACCAGTGGATGTGAAGTGGCAGCTTCAACAGCTTGTGGAAAATAGCTTTTTGGGTTGCTGAGTTTAATTGGCACCAGCAAATGCTGTCTCTCATAGTCTCACAGTTCCAAACTACTGCAATCCATGGCAGCTCTGTGTTGGTTAATTGATGTGAGAGCCCCAGTTGGTATACATAACATTTTGCTTTTCGCATATGTTGTCAAAAGATAATGTTTGCTGCTTCCCTGTTTGAAAAACTATTGCTTAAGTATGTCTGAGATGTCAGGGCCCATCCACATAGCATTTCAATTATAAACATTGAGCAAGCAATGTGCCAGAGCCTGAGGTGGTACAAATTGGCATAGCTCCACTGATTTCACCTGAGAACGAGTCCGTGTTTGCCCAACTGGTTCCACGGAGATTTCATAAAAAAATAAATTAGTGGCTGAGCAAACCAAGTGCCCTTGCATGGAATCTGAACATGCACGCAGTAACAAATATGGCTGCATGTAGGTAAAGGGCAGGGTAGATTTGCATCTTATAGCCTAGCTAAATCATAGATGTATAGTATAAGCTTTCGTTAAGTTGCCAGCCTTTTTCATCACATTCATTTCAAGGTTGTAAAAGAAGAGGAAAGAGACCAGAAGCAACTAGGAGACAGCAAAATTGACCTAAAAGCTTGGAACGGTAAGACCATTAAGAAGGAGAGACCATCATTTACACCTCTGGAGTGAAGAATAATGAGCCAGTAAGTCAACCAACTCCCTAAGATACCTGAATAGTAACATTACAACTGCTGAATCTTGGTGCCAGAATCAAAGCTTCTATCCCAGGCAGAGAAATCAGCTTCCCCATTTAATACATGCACCTGAATTTTGAGGGGCTGATTTTTGAGGGACCGGTGTGTGTTGTATGCAAGAAAACATGATATTTTAGCTAAATGAGCAGCCCCAACAAGGAGGGCTACACCAGAAGCAGCTCGCAGTCTGGTGGTTAGGGCATTCTCCTGGGAGGTGGAGGTTCAGCTTATCTCAGACTGAAGGTGCAGTGGATCCCAAGGTACTGAACATGGGCCTCATTCCCTGTGAGAGGGCTCTCACCACTGAGCTACTGGGAAACAGAAGGGCACCACTACCATCTTTGTGAACAGACTTTATCTCCTTTTTTTCTTTGTAACTGCCCCCAATGATTTTTTTTTATTGTGCCAAATGAACATCGTGTGTATAGGTGGGGAGTTAGCCAAGGGGGGAAAAAAACATTGCTTTTAGTATACGTAATAGCTTTTTTCTGAATCTTGTGCAATAAGGAAACGACCAACTTAAATTTAGACCAGACATCAATCCATAAAACACAATGAAGACATACTGCACCTTCAGCCTGTTAATAGTACCATTGGCAACAGAAGGACTTCTTCTTTGATTAAAGTTAAACACAAGCTAAGTGGTATCCTGGATTGGGGGTTATGTGCATACATGTAAAGAAATGCCATCAAACTAGCATGGCCATGATTTCTTGTTTTAGTGACGCTATCTTGTAATCATTTGGCCTGCCATCCTTACTTATATAAATCCCTCATTTCAGGAAATTAGAAGCAGACAAAATTTGCATTTTACAAAAATGGAAAATGATGAAAAAATTGAGAAATTTTCAAACAAGAGAATTAAGGGCTCAGATTCCACTCACATCCTTAGGAAAAACCTAGCTTAACAGAACAACAAAAGGTATGTACGGGTCCCTGGCCATCTAGACATATTTTTTATCATAAACATCAAATACGGAATAGATGTATTTAGTAGGAACCAAGAGGAGACAAGTGTTTATTTAGGACAATTGCTAAAATGCACTAGCCAGAGCACTTGTGCCAAGCTATTGGGAAGACAAACCAGCACCAGTTGAAAATAGAAGACAATAAGCAAAGGAAAACATAGGCGAGATGTCAAGCAATATTTCCTAACAGTTAAAATCTGTTGGACTACGGAACAATCCCCCAAGGGAAATCATACAAGCCGTACTTTAGCACAAACCAGGTTCTCAAGACAAGTAAAGTATCTGACCACTGGCAGAAGCTGTGCTAAATCAAATACAACTTCCGCATCTATGTGCGTGTGTGTGTGTTCCATACAAATACATTACATTATTTAAAAGATTACGGTTGCAAAGTCAAGATTGCACCTTAATTCTGCCCTTTGCATATACGCATTCGAATGATTTTTAATCACACGTGTTTTTCTACACATCCTGCCTCAGTCTGCGTGGACCATGGCCAGTAAATAAGGCTATTTGTAGAGTTCCCCACCCCATTCCCTGAAGAAATTAAAATGTCAGTAACAAAGGAGACAAAGTCTGCAAGGAGAGGATGGCTTTGTGGTTAAGGGGTTGCCACGAATTAAATGCAACTAGTGCAAATATCTGTGTGGAAACTCTTATATTATCTTAAACCTATGTTGATGCAATTTGTGCCCATATATTACAAGCGATGTCAATCTAAGGCAAGCTTAATAGCTCTGATTATTGATTTGAATAGATCAATAGAAGCTCTGATCTCCACACCATTTGTGAATTGATTTTCGCAGCGTGAATCAATGCAACCACCTAACATGGCCGCAGTTAGTCCAGCTAAAGGTTCTCATACCAGTAAAGCTTAATTTGTGGAAAACAGGATTAACAGTATTAGTGATTTTTGCTAACTAGTTATTTTTAAACAACATAGTTACAAGCTCTAGAAGTGTCTATTTGCAGCACTGCACAAGCTTAGATTAAGGTCTGATTTTAAAACCACTTTTCGTTAAACAGTGTAATGTTGTGTTTAGACCGGGCCTAAGTGACTGGGCTGAGACCTGGGAGATGTGGATTCTATTCCTGGCTTTAGCATGAATCCCTTACTTGCATAAGAAAAATCAGAAAAGGGGCTAGATACTTAGGGCTGGATCCCATTTAATCTATTAGGGGTTTAAGTGGATTTATGTGCCTATGTAGGATCCTTTTCCAATCTGATTAGGTCCCTGAAAAATAATTAATACAAAGGGTGGAGGGAACTCCTCTTCCTGTTCCTTGCTCTTTGTGACTTTGCCCTTGACTTCAGTGAGAATAAAATTGAGTTTTTAGATTTTTTTGCTGTATTCACTTGTAGTAACAGGACAGCTTCATGCCCTTGATGGCAGCTATTCACTGGACAGCATTAGCTGCCGTGCTCTCCTGCTGGTGGCAGTAGCATGGCCAGCCATCCGCTGCAGTAGCAGCTATTTCTGTGCCCCCTTCCCTCCCACAAAGTGGCACCTGGGGCTGCTGCTCTGGTCACGACCTCTCAGCTATGCTACTACTTATTGTCTCTCATCCTCTGCTTTGAACATAGAATCATAGAAAATTAGGGTTGAAAGAGACCTCAGGTGGTCTAGTCCAACCCACTGCTCAAAGCAGAACCACCCCCAACTAAATCATCCTATCCAAGGCTGTTTCTAGCCGGATGGAGATTCCACCACCTCTCTGGGTAACCTGTTCCAGTGCTTTATCACCATCCTAGTGAGAAAGTTTTTCCTAATATCTAACCTAAACTTCCCTTGCTGCAACTTGAGACTGTTGCTCCTTGTTCTGTCATCTGCCACCACTTAGAACAGACCAGCTCCATCCTCTTAGTAACCGTCCTTCAGGTAGTTGAAGGCTGCTATTAAATCCTCCTTCAGTCTTCTCTTCTCCAGACTAAAAATGCATCCCTGGGGAAGGAACCAGCTTTTTATTATATACGTATATGGGACTGAGGCTTCTCGTTACAATAAGAAATACTACTACTACTAATCATACTAATCACATTAATCATAGTTCCTTACTGCAGCAACCTTGTCTCATTGTGTTTGTAAGCACCAGCACTACGGTGCTGTAAAAGCAATTATTAGCAATAATAATGTGGAAATTCTTGCCCCTTGTGAGCAATTGCCAAACAACTAAATTAATTTAGCCCAGCTACTGCAGTGTCACTCAATCATTCTTTGACATACTCTAGCCAATGCTTGTTTGGAATGAGTGCAAGCTAAAGGTCTGCTCGGGAGTTTGGAGGTGCATATTTTGGGGCTAGCTCCTTAATCAGGTTCACAAACTCGGTTTTCTCTATGCAGGCTTTGCACACTTCTCCCCAGCTATCCAGGATCTTCCGAAGCTCTGCCACTCGCATTTTGGAGAGATCCACTGATGTCAGATCCAGTTTCCTTTCTGTAAAAGAAAAGAATGTGAGATATAGTTCAGAGGGCACATCAAGTTGCACGTGGTCCTCAACTCCTCTGTGCTGCCAAAGCAGAGAAAAAATAATCCAGTTAATACAAAGGCTACAAAGGGATCTCCTGGCATGCAGGTGACAGCTGAGGGAGGGCCCGGCAGGCTGCACGTCCCTCCATGACACAGCATGACTGTACAAGCACAACAGTCATGCATGTAAGATTCAGGACCTCCTTGATTCTTCCAAAATAACTTGTAACCCAAAGTGCACTGAAGCAATACTGGAGTTCAGTCTATTGAGTCTGAATATAGTAAACTCCATTCCCTCTTCAAGCCCTCATCCACTCCCCAATTAGGGGGCTCCACCTTCCTTTGCAAGCCTGTGTAGTTGTTACCAGACATGCGCTAGCCAGATTCGTACTCCACAGAGCCTCCTCTCTCGCTTCTTGGAGTCAGCGCACAGCTGGATTTTACCCTGAGCAGAAGGGGCTCACTGATTACCAACTGGCCTCCATCCCCCAGCTTGTCAGCTGTTTTCTCAAACACCTATTTCCTTAAAACACCAAGGCCTGGAGGAGGGGTGAGTGAATGGCTCTGGAGTCTCACTGCTTGTGACATGAAACAGATCTCCCTGTTTCAGAGACTCAAATGATTAGACACAGAAGCCACAGGATTCTGGTGCTTTATTTCCTGGATATGCATACCTAGCCTCAGTAAAAGGATCTCTGCTATGCACACTGATGTAACTCCTGGCTTTCTTTTAAAAAGACAACGTTTTTGTCAGTATTCAAAATGAAGCTGGATAACTTTATGACTAAAAAAAGCATATTCATCACTTGATCCTTCAAGACACTTGAGTGCCCTCAGCAATTTGATGCCAACAAGAAATGTTAGCGCTCAGCACCTGATAAGCAGCACTCAGCATTTTGCAGAATCAGGTCAAAACAGGTGGAAAACAAATCTCATGATTTGAGTAAATGCTGTTGGGGTGAGGAAGGAAGGACCCTTATTATACTGGCAGTATGGACCAGATGCATTATGGATTTTCCTTACTTTCCTTTGCATCATCTACAATGGCTGATAGATGCTGACAAATTTGATGGATCATTGAAAGCAGGTTTGGCAAATGATATACAGTGTTACTCAGCATTTTATGTTTGTGTGGTAGAGACCTCTTATGAGTGGTTTATAGGCTTCTGAGAAGGAAGAGGAACCCCTTTTATAGATAAAAACCCTGTAAATAAACCAACAATGGACAATAATTTAGAATTTATTTTCAAAACGTAAATCCTTTGCATTTTTATAATCAACTGACTTTTGGCAGTGATGGGTCAGCTTCTGCTGAAATTAATGCATGTAAGGAAAGAGTTTGGCCCTCGCTGATGGAGTAAGATAAGCCCAATTAAGGCCCTGAAAAGGTTCACAGAGGTTCACAAAGATTTCAGTGAGCTTTGGATCATGTCCTAGGACCTGTCATTAGCTGTAGCAACACACTGGTGATGCAGTTGCTGGGCCAGGATAGCTCTTGACACCATTAAATATTAAGAGTCCCAAAGGCAGAGTGGCAATTACTGACTGAATCAGACAGATTCAGATCGGAGGAAGGTTCATTGTCACTGGTTAGCAATTTAATTGGTCACTCCTCACCCTCTCTCTGTGGCTAGGCAACCAGTAGGGACTTTTCTTTAAATGGTTTGTGTGGGTAGGCTGGGTCCTCATGATAGTGGCTTCAGCACAACTCGCTTCTTAAGCTTTTGACCCCCAGGGTGGATGAGTGCACTACAGTTGTGGCTAGCTTGTTTTCATGCCTGCACCAAAACTGCTTGCAAATACAGTGAGTGTCATGTGAGCAGTTCAGCTCAACTGGACAACAGAAGGCCTTTGCTTCTGCTTAGAGATGTTAAAGCACCACAGAGTTTAGGGTTGAGAGAGAGATGACATTTAAGATATGGCTGTATCGCAAATTGAGGGTGACTAGCAAATGAAAAGACCAAAGGCACTGTCCCCAAATTTAACTTCTTTATGGTGCAGAAAGGCCTGGGAGGATTCTTTTTTAATATATAAATTTACAGGGGTTTTATTGCTTGTTTTAACATTACAAAGTCACATAAACATTTGACACTGTAAAGTCATATGTGTCCACTATAGAAGATGAGCGGTTTTTAAATATCAATGATATAAAGGAGACCAAATTAAGGAGAAGATGTGCAAAAAAAACTCCTCTCTCTAAAGGATTCAACACAATTCCCCATTTACTTAAGAGCCAGGAAAGTGCCCATCCATGGCTCCCAAAGAGGACCTTTGAGTTCTCCAACATAATCAATGAAGAAAAGACATGATACTCTTGATACTTCTGAGATTAAAAAATAAGCCAGAAACTCACTGGAGAGAGATTTCTGGCCTAGTATGCATAGAAGTGGAACAAAGACAAAAGGACAAGGCTATTTATTTTCCTTTCTACATCACATTTTGGAATGACTATTGTTCTGAGCAGGACCCAATGAGAATTCATGAGCGCACATAGGTAAGGAGGCCTTACCGTATTTGAGTTCACAGATCTGAATATCTATCTTCTTCAGCTTATCACAGATCTTGGGCACGGGCACATGGGCACTCATTGGGCGGCTGACCTCACTGATGATCTTGGTGGGTGCATCACTTATTGCTCCAATGTAATAGCACTGAAACAAGCAGGACACACAGTCAGCACTGAAGAAAAACAGGAACAGTGGAGAGTGTTAAAGGGTGCTTGTATTTTCAACACTTTCAGTAAAACTCAGGGATACTGACAGCAGGACCCTCCTGTTGTGACTGTTAAATGGAGGCTTCATTTAAGCTCAGTAAAATTTGGAATAATGCAAATAAGGCACCTCTGGCAAAACAGGAAGTGAATTTCAATTAGATACACCTTGCCCAAAAGGTAATTTGGAAGCCTTTAATAAGCAAATAGCAGCTCCTACCTTTTAGCTGAATGGCCGCATTGAATGGGATTATTTCTACTTTAAAAATATACCATTATTAAAGGAACCAAGAAATACTGTATACAGTAGGCCTGTATGAATAGGGAACTATTTGATTCAGATTCAGCCAATTCGGATGCCAGAGATTTGATTCAGAGATCTGAATCGTTTTTCTGATTCGATTCGGCTGAATCGCTTTGGAAGATTTGGAGCCAATTCGGAGATTCGGCCATAGCGTATATGGGGAATCAATGAAATATCTATAATTTTGTTGTCTTTTGGCTGATTTGGATGAAACGTACAGGGGTGCTGAGAGCATGATGCGTGACAAGTTTCAAGGTGATAGGTGCAGGGGTTTCTGGGAAACTGCACCTCAAAGTCCTGAAAGCAAAACTCATAACATAGGTGACACTGTGTGTGTTAAGGCACAGAGGGGTGAAAACCGCAGAGGTGGTAGCCCCTGCTGAGGCCACAAAGCCTGCCACGTTTCAAGGAGATAAGTGAAGTGGTTTGGGGGGAACTGCATCTCAAGCTGCGGACAAGTAAAACTCGTGACACGGGTGACACCATGTGTGTTAAGGCACAGCAGGGTGAAAACTGCAGGCCTGCTAGCCCCTGTTGAGGTCACAAAGCCTGCCAGCTGTCAAGGAGATATGTGTAGGGGCTCTGGGGCCCTGCATCTCTAGCTGCTGATGGGCAAAACTCGTGATATGGGTGCTTGTGCAACTGGCTGTGTCTGTCTTGGGCCAGAAGCAGTTCCCAGCTCTGTATTGATTCTTTCCTCTCCTTAGTTTGTGGTTTTGTAGGTGTTGATCCTTGCTCGTTAACTCGTTATCTAGTAGCTAGCTAGTGTGTACTGAGCTGGTCCCTGAATGAATCATGATTGATTGGTAATGCAGTAGCTTAGCAGCTAGGCCTGCAGTAGTTCCTGCCCCCCCTCCCCACCGGTGCCCCGAGACAGACGCAGTTGCACAAGCACCCATGACCCAAGTTTTGCCTGTCAGCAGCTAGAGGTGCAGGGCCCCAGACTCCCCCTGCACCTATCTCCTTGACAGCTGGCAGGCTTCGGAGCCGCCGCAGGGGCCTTTGTGGCAGGCTTCGTAGCCGCAGCAGGGGCTTGTGCTGCATCCCTGCAGCTTTCACCCTGCTGGGCCTTAACACAGACACAGTCACCCATGTCATGAGTTTTGCTTATCCGCAGCTTGAGGTACAGTTTCCCCCAAACCCCTGCACCTATCTCCTTGAAAGTTGGCAGGCTTTGTGGCCTCTGTAAGAGCTACCATTCCTGCAGTTTTCACTCCCCTGGGACTTAACACACACATGTGACATGAGTTTTGCTTTCAGGATTTTGAGGTGCAGTTTCTCAGAAACCCCTGTACCTGTCACCTTGAAACTCAGCACACATCATGCTCTCAGCAGAGGCTACCATCTGTGCAAGTTTCATCTGAATCAGCCTACAGACAACGAAGTTAGATATTTCATCGATTCCCCAATATACCCTACGGCTGAATTGCCGAATCTTTTCCAAATCTATTTGGAAGCTCCGAATCGATTCAGAAAACCTAAAGCTTCCAGTGATTTGATTCAGATTCGTAGATTTGGCCTCTGAATCATCCGAATCATCTCCAAATCTGAATCGTGATCCGAAGCTTTGCGCAGTCCTAGTATACAGTACCAGGTTAACATTAACCTAGTATAATACATCATAATGAACTGCCAGTTACACACTCATGGCACATCATGGCCCTATTAATGGTGCATGTCAGATTGTTCCTTGCACCTTTTTCTATGTGAATTAGTAAGTTAAGGGCCAAATTTTGCCACCCCTTTTCATGTTAAATACAAGGAGAATAAGGAAATATTTAACATGACCATGTTTAGGAAGAGAAAATGCTGGGCTCACTACTGACCACGCTGATCAAGACTCTCTCATTATTTCCTAGGACTCTCCACTCCACCTTTCTGTTTCCACCTGCCTCTTGTCTTAGACAGTAAACTCTCAGAACCCATCTTTTTAAGCTGTTCACTTTGGTACTACATCATGGAGAGCTTAGACTTAACATCATACATTACTACACATCAGATCTGCTGTGCACTTCAGCAGACATGGTCTGTCCTGCAGCCCGCAGGCCCTGCCTTTCAAAAAGGAGGGCAGTCTTTGGTCTCCTTGTGGCCATGCCCCACATCCATTTACAAAAATGCACTGAACACAAGATTGAAAAATGTAGGGGACCTGACCTGCTTCACCTCCTGGGAGCTGGCAATCAGTGCTTTTCCCAAACCCAGGAAACAAGTCATCTGTTTGCTGACAGAACAGATAAGGCACAGGTGCCATTGGCAGCCTGCTTCACACAGTCCTACCTGCTTTGATATGAAGGGGTGAAGCAGTACAAAGAGATGAAGGCATAGTTTGACCCACACCTATTCAGTCTTTGATTACTTGGATATAGGATCATAGAAAAACAGGGCCACAAGAGACCTCACGAGGCATTTGAGTCCAACCCTCTGCTCAAGACAGGATCATCCTGATGTACTTTCCGATACAAGTACTTGTCAAACCTATTCTTAAAACTGCATGAACAACCCTTTTGAACAGCTATGGTATACAATGCCCAGGAATGTCAAGAGAGTCAAAAAGCAGCAAACACATTAATGCCTAATGTGCTAATTAATGCCTAATTAATGTAGGATTTCATCCAGGGCCCACTGGGGCCAATGGAAAGACTCCTACTGATTTCAGTGGGTGTTGGATCAGTTCCTTTGGGATGCAGACCCTTACCCACTGGAAATTAATCTAGGATTCCCCAGACTCATTTTCACGTATGCCACTGAGCATGTTTTGTGGCAAGGCAGTTAAGGTGCCTCACCACCAGGGTTTCAGCGATAATTTTGAACTCTGGTCCAGATTTGTGTCAAAGTCTGCCCCCAGTAGACCCAACCGCAAATGGGTACCTGGTTATTTGGTCTGGTGACAACAGAGATGCCTTGATATGATGCCAGACACATCACTCCCTTGTGTACTACTGGCTACAGAAACTGGTGTATCTTAACCAGGGCTCATTAAACCCAGGCAGACCTTTGACCTTTGCTTTAATACTCTCATTGATGTAGTTAGATCTAAATTAGTGCCTGAGAATTAGGCAGTGCAAGAGAAGAGATCTTTTTTGTCCAAGCACCTTCTAATCAGTATTTTGTCATAGTTGGGGGCATGAAACTAAAGCAATATATGAAAACAAGAATGATTGTACCAGGCGCTGTTCTTTTCCTTTTGCAGTCTTGCAGCTGCTGAGCAAAGCCTCCTCTATGGCAGCCACAGTGAAGTCAGAATGCTTTTCTTTTAAAGAGTTGTAAAATTTGTCCAAGAATTCTTTACACACTGTAACAAGAAAATAAAATCTACAGGTCAAATAATGAGATCTGGTAAAGCTGCAAAAGGAATTTTAACAAGTTGGCTAAGGACAAGGACTCATTAACACTTAAAAAAATCAAGAGAGGACTGATTTTAAAATAAGAACAAAACTTGAGGCATTTAAAATATGTTTTATTTTCATTTATAGGATCCAGGAATGATAGCAACAGCTTTTGTGTGTAGAAGTGGAATTTAGTTTGTCACCTCTTGATAGATCCCATTAATTCTTTTATTATAACAGCAGAGCAGAATATGTCAGCACTTTGATCTTGGTTCAATAAAGCTAATCTCAAGTCTTGTTATAACTAGGAAAATTAATGGTGTTTAATTCCCATTTAAAAAAATCAATTTAGGTGGCATGCAACTGGACATGGCTGACAAGTTAGTGAAAATAATGAGAAGCCGTGTTCTATAAGTTCCATAAATAGAATATAAGAGTTTTTATCAATGCAGTTATTATTAAAACACCCTATTCTCATAATTTTACAGACGAGGAACTGAGGTAGAGGGAGACTGAATGGCATACACAAGGTCACGTAGGAAGCCTCCAGCAACACAGGGAAGTGAAATCCCAAATCACAAGTCAGCTTCCTAACCACTGGGCATAAACCCTGATCTCAGCTTAGCCAACACAATGCTGATATAACTTATTCTGACCTGCACAGACCAAACAGCACCGTGTCAGCTGAACAGAACCGGAGGAGAAATGTGGCAAAGTAAATGGGGACAGAGCCATTTTCTTCAGTGCAGTCCTGTTTGCAAGCAAACTGCGTCAGCCGGAGTCACTGGTCAGTTCAGTTCCCCTGGTATGAATTGTAGAAAGGACAGCAGTTGTGTAGCAGACAGTAACTCTATATTTTTTGGAAGCTGGGTTTTTTGATTGTCCCATGTTGTCAGACAATCGGATTTTTTCCACTTGGTTACTCAGACTAAGGGAGGTGTTCCTTGATGCTCCTTCGACAAAAAAGAAAAAAAAAACACCAACAACTCAGCTGCTGGAAAATGGCAAATGAGCTTATTTAGGTGTGTCTGTAGAAACCATTAAAAAAACCTCCCCTCTGATTCATAAGCTGTGTCACCAAGAATGCAGCTTCTCGAAAGGCCTCAAATTTCAATGCAAAACTGCTCAGCAGTTGTATGCTACATTTATGCCACCTACAGGAATGGAAAAAAAAAATCTTTTCCGGAGAATTGCCCTGCAAACATTACATTGATATATTTTTCAAAATTGCTCCTGGGCAAGATTTGAAATCCAGCATCCCTAGAACTCTACCGATAATAAACCTCATTCAGGTCATTAACAAGTCAAAAGTGTTTAATGCAACTGATTCACTATGGGGCCTTTCCTTTCCTACAAAATAAGTTTCATACTCAGCCACTTCACCTCTCCCTGCCTCAGTTATGAAATTATGATGACACTTACCTCCTTTAAGCGCATCACGATCTAGTTCTAGTAAGTGCTGCGTAATAGGTATATTTATTTTACCTGATATCTTTCATGGTGACACATGTGGTTACATGCCGAAAGGATCCCAAATGCTTTGGGAATTGTATCTCTTCACCCTCCAATAAAAGGCAGCCATCTCTGGGATGACACACAGCACCAGTTTAACTGATACACTGACACTATAGACTTAAAGTAGAAGAGGTGCTGCTCTGGGTCAGCAAACCTGCATACAGAATAGGGCTGTCAATAAAATGCAATTGCCCACTGTGAGATGTAGCCCGGGGAGAGAAGCTGAGATACCTATTTTTACAGAAACATCTCGGGAGATCTTTAATGATCACAAGCAATGGTGACCAAGGTTTTACATCTTGGAAGGTGCCACATTTCAGTGCAGCATCAGTAAAGTACCATCCTGGAGAACTGGTTCTGTGCAAACTTCGAGGGGAAAGTGCCACCTGCTGGTTCCTCAGCACCAGTTCCTACAGCAGCGAGTTTTCCCGGAGGTAGTAAGGCAGACAAGGCTCTTTGGGTAAATCTGATCTCTTTTATTAGACCAACTCAAATTGTTGGAAAAATTCTTCTTAGCAAGCTTTCAAATATAAATAGCCTTTGTCAGGCTGAGGAATACACCTATACCCCTAGAGGTAGTAAGTGCATTTACTCATCCTGCCCTTTAGCATCCAATAGGAACACAGGCTAATGCATCTGCCATTTAGAGCTTCCTTCAATCTTAATTTTCTAGAATTAGTCAGGACATGCACAGATTAATTAAAACGGATGTTTTAATCCCCAGGGAGATTCTAGGGCATATGGCTAAAATGAGCAGTGTGCCAAGCAGTGCAAACATATTCTCTGGTTTCCCATCAAAAACTCTGTCATGGGTTTACGCTTTTTCCTTTTAGCATCATGATTTTGCTACAGGTCCCAACCAGTCCATTATGAGCAACACCAAGGAGCATCCACATGCGAGTCTTAGCATCTCGGCCTGACTGTGAGTGTGTAGTGCACAAAGAACTTGGATTTGTAGGAAGGCACAGCTCCCTTTTTGCTAATAGCTTATCTACCCAGTTGGTCTCGCCTTTGAATTTCTGGAGCCCCAAGATGCCAGAGGAGAGGATTGGTGGTATGCGTTCCCTCATGCTTCTGGGAAGGGAACACGATTGCTCAGGTTTTCTCTCCGCAGATCTAGCCATTGCAAGTCACGCTCTGGGAATTGTGCTTATACTGAAGACTAGTGCTGATGGCTGCACAGGTTAGCACCGGCCAGTTTCTGTAGAAGTTCTTGCTAAATTTCTACCTCCACCTACCATGGGATGTCTCTATTCAGATTTGAATGTATCTGTCAAATTACACACATGGCTCCCTCATTATTGCAGCTGAACTTCCCCATGATGCAGACTCACAACACATAGGGAAGTCCTACTAGCTCCATTTTCCAGCGGGGAATATGAAGCCACAGTGACTCTCCTAAAGTCAGAAGGAAGGCTGTAGCCGAGGAAGGAACAGAGCTCAGATCCCCTGAGTGCTAGTCAGTGCTCCCCCCACCACCCTCCCAAAGAAGCCTGAGTTTAAGGCTTCAATATTCGTCAAACACTATTCTTGCAGGCTGGGTGTATTTTCCATTTTTCTTATTTAAAAATTTTTTTTTTGCTGCATCTGGTACCAGCTCCATCTGCCTCAATGGGCACATCTACACATGATGCTATGTCACCGGAGTGATGCACCACGACGACAGAATCCACGGGTGTCTCCATGTGACCAGCAGATACTTCACCGTAGTGGTGCACTCCCCCATTAGAGCGCGATGCTACAGTGAAGTAACTGCTAAAAATAAATGTGTGCCGGGCAGACAGCAGAGTACGGGCAGTTACTGGTTTAGTACTTCCTTTTGGACATACTAAAGCACGGCACAGTGACATCACCATAGGGCAACATGTAGATGTGCACAACACACCCACAGCCCCCCCATCCCCAAGTCCCTACTTACCAGGGGCAGAGCCTGGGTCCGGACTGCTGCTGCCAGCCTTGCCCCACTTCTATTTGCTCCGGCACGGCAGCATGCTGGAGCAGCAGGGGCATGCAGCAGGCATAGAAACGCTTAGGCCAGGTGCTAGAGCATCCCTTTGGAGGACCCAGCCTCCAGTTGCTTCATGGCACTTAGAGTCCACACTGGAAACATCTTTTCACTCCTAGCGTGCCACCTGCCACATTTCAAACTGCTTTGAGATGCTGCAACAGGCACGTGCTTGCTTGTCTGGAGGCGGCCAATGTGTCCAGGACTGCCCCTCCACTAGCTATGCCATTTTCACCAATACAAATTTGCCAGTGGAATGGCAGCATATTCTAGTTTGACCAGTGCTCTATTAATAAACTGCTCAGCAAACGAGCCAGGATCACAGTACAGCTTTGTGTGGCAATGGCAAGAATTTCACATCACAGCATTTGCTAGGTGATGCTGCCAGGAGAACTATTTAACATGTAATTGTGTGTGCCATTTTATATGCTAGGCTTCTTGCTAGTTGCACTGGGTTGTGGTGACTTCTTCCTAAGTGGTGGAATTGGCTTGCAATTTTGGGAAGCCTTGAGGGCTCCTGTATTATCTATTTCTGCTCTTTCTTCCTCTCCCTACCTTCTCAGCATTTCTTCTCATCTCTTCACTCCCCCCTGCCCCCCACCCCCAGTCCCCTCTCCTTTTCCTTTCACCCTTTAAACAATGTTTTTATCCCCTACAAGTCCCCTTGGTCACAGACCATCTATCCTTCTATTCCTTTTCCTCTGTAACCCAAGAGATGCAAATAAGCCAACAGTTTGACCTATTTTAAAGGAATTATTTTCAGTCATAAAACTTACACCTTCATTTTAGTGACCATAAAGCTCATATTGCTGTGATCTAGTTGGACTTCTCTATCCCTTTCATCTTGCTCAGAGTTCAGAAGCCCCATTTTTGAGAGAAGATATTCCAGTGGCTAAAATGCTACAGCCTAAGACCTGGTCCCATTCCAGCCATTGCCACAAAATTCATGTGACCTTGCTTTTAAAACAATTTCTCTGTACCTTGGTCCTCCATCTGTAAAATGAGACTATAGCTATTTCTTGCCTCAGAGTGGGGTTGCAAGATTAAGTTATTGTAATGCATTCAGATAGCATGCGAACGAGAGCCATATTGGTATCCTAGATGGACAGTTATTATGGTGATGCTGCGCTTGTTACATTGGATGGCTGGAGTTGCAGACAGCTGTTTCTGCAGCTGTCTGTGTCCTACCTGTATTCAAGGCCTACTCCTTGAGCATCAGTCAACAGGTAGCTTTGTGTAGATGCCACCAAAGCTATCGTGGCTCTTACAATATGACACCACCTTAAAAAGCACCAGTGCACATAATCCCTTAAGAAAAAACCCTCCCCCCAAAAAACACATTTTTAATTTTGTCACTGTAGAACCCATCTTCTTTCTTTTCCCATCTCTGTTGCCCCAGTATTTGGTAGCAGATACCTCGGGGTTGATAATCAGATGTGTTTTCTTATGTCACAGATCTGAACATCGTATCGAGTCCTTGGCAGAGGGAATTTTCGAAATACAACTTATTATGAAAGCATCTCGACTCCGGCTCAGGTTTGAGGAGTTTGGTCAATCCTTCTCTTACCTTTCTGAACACAGGCTGCAGCAAGCCAACGGAAACACACAGATATGAGTTTGTTGGCACCTGAAATCTTCAAACTTCCTTGTGTTATATAGGGGTCCTCCTGAAAGCCTCCACCCCAGCCACAGCTTTCAACAATCCCAAAAAAGGACTCAAAATAAACATGGTTAAAGTCACCCCAATCAGAAAGCAGGTTAGAAAGGATTGGATCTGGAGGTTTGTCCTTTATGACTACAAGAAGGAACATTTTGGTAATCATGCAGTATCAATGAGACACCAAGCTTTCACTTCAAACACTGGTCGTGCATGGTTAGAATTGAGCAAAATCAAAACTAGGCTCGACTTGTTCAGTGACTTATTTGATGCAAACGTTTACATTTTATCCATGCAACAAATGGCAAGCAATGCTGTTGGCATAACAAAAACATTTATATATTCCTGGTCTTTGCCTCTCTCATTTAATGTCCATTTCCTTTGTGATTTGTTGTTCTGGAAGGAGTTACAAAAAAGGCTTACCCTTCCACTGATGCAATCACAGGTGGCAGTTAAAATGTCATTTGTTTTAGAGTATATAGGTTACGGGTAGCCTTTTAATCAGTTGGATAGCAAAAACAGATTGGTCAGCTTCACTTTCTGGTTGGGAAACTCGTGTTATGTTGCTGTGACACTGGCCCAGTAATATGTATGACCTCAATACGGAAAATTTTGTTTGGGAGGACTCTTGGGCTTCTGCACAACCTCGCAAACCTGGCATGTTGCATGACAGTAATTTTTAAGACTGGGGCCTCAGTCCCTAGTTCTCAAGCACTAGCATGCTGCTGTTGCAGTGTACATTCACAGTTTTGCAGGAGACTGTCTAAATCTAAATGAAAGTAGTTTTCTTTTTAAAGTGTTTCAGATTGCCATAAGAACATATTTATTCAGTTTACAGTTTGAATTTTTAAACAAAATCTAAGAACCAAACATTTTGAGTTAAGGTCCTTTTAAATCAAGCATATCCAAAAATGTTTCTGTCTCTCTCTCTTCCTCTCTCACACAAAAAGTGCCCTGAGGGAACGTCATTTATTTTCTGCTGCTTGACATAACTGGCTTGTCATTTCTTCCTCCTCGCTGCAAAGAGGAAAGCCGATAGAAAAGAAATCTTTTGAAGATGACCTGTCGGTATTCAGCCACTGTGTACTGATTAAGTCATCTATGCTAAACACACACACAAAACAACAGATGATAATAACTTTTAAAGAGAATTCACAATGTCATATAGATGGTAGGAGAGGGAATTTTATTATCACGTTTTATTGTACGCCTGTAGCAAGTATAAGCCTTAGTTGTTCCATAAATTGCAGGGAGGAAAGGAAATGTAGGATCATAGAAAAATCGGGCTGGATGGGATCCCAAGAGACGATATAGTCCAACTCCCTGCTCAAGGCAGGATAATCCTTGTCTAAATACCCCAGACAAATGTTTGTCTGCACTTAAAAATCTTCCAGTGACAGAGATTACCTAGAGGTTATGAAATATGCTCCAATGCTTAGCCACCCACATGGTTACAAAACTCTTCCTAATACCTAACCTAGATCTCCCCTGTTGCAATTTCAACCCGTTACTTTTTGTCCTGTTTCCTCTGGACACAAAGAACAATTGATCATCCTACTCTCTATAAAACAGCTTTTTGAATGCCAAATTCCCCATCCATCCTCTCCTTTCCAACCTAAATAATCCTAGTGCTTCCAACTATTCTTCATATGAAGACCTCTAAATCATGTTTGTTCCTCTCTCCTGCATTATTTCGCCCCTTTCCTACATCTTTCTTGACGCATGGTGCCCAAAATTGGACACAGTCCCCCACACAAAACTAAATGATGAGCTGCATCCAAGGGTACTGAAGGAATTGGCTAGTGTCATAGCAGAACCACTGGCATGGCTGTTTGAGAGCTTGTGGCACTTGGGTCAGGTCCCAGAGGACTGGAAAAAGGCCAATGTGGTCCCTATGTTCAAGAAGGGGAGGAAGGAGGATCTGAGTAATTATAGGCCAGTCACTCTCAACTCCATCCTTGGAAAGGTCTTTGAAAAGATTATAAAGGATCATATTTGTGGGAGTCTAGCAGGAAAAATAATGCAGCAGGGAAACCAGCATGGATTTGTAGCAGGTAGATCATGCCTGACTAATCTGGTTTCATTTAATGACAGGGTCACAAAATGCTTAGGTGCAGGAGTAGAGGTGGATGTCGTTTTCTTGGACTTTAGCAAGGCCTTCGATACGGTATCTCATCCCATTCTCATAAATAAATTAAGAGGCTGTGACATAGATGTTTACACGGTCCGGTGGGTGGCAAATTGGCTTAGCAGTCACACCCAGAGAGTGGTAGTAGATGGGTCAGTATTGACCTGGAAGGATGTGGGTAGTGGGGTCCCGCAGGGTTTGGTCCATGGACCTGTACTATTCAATACCTTCATCAGTGACTTGGATGTGGTTGTGAAGTGTACTCTGTCCAAGTTTGCAGAAGATAGTAAATTGTGGGGTGAAGTGCACACTCTGGAGAGTAGGGAACAATTTCAGGTGTCACAACCCAAGGGTGTGATTTTGTGTGCGCGCGCTTCGGCACTGCTAAATTATTTCCCGCCACGAGGAGCTTTCTTTGCAAGGTGCATTTCTCAGTTGCAAAGAGAAAACCCCGGTGCAAAGGAGTTTCCGCCACCCGCATGCAAATTTGTGTCCCACTATTGGCCAGTTCTAAATTATTCCCACGTGGTGGCTAGCGATTGGCTTGCTAGCCGTATAAGAGGCTTGAGCGGTTTCCGCCCAAGTTGGAGGACTCCATAACCATCTAGTGGAGGAGGAGGACTTCACATCTCGTGAAGAACTCTAAGCGCTGCGGAGCCTAACGGACCCAGCGTGTACCTTAAGGCGGCTATAGGGGTCTGATCAACCTCTGGCCTCTCCTCGTCGCCGAACGTTCCCTCGACGAACCCCTTCCCTGCGCGCAAGTTCCACGGAGCCTAGCAAATTTCGTGTGAGTGTATCCAGAGCTCTTCTCCGAGTTGTTTTCTTCGGTTGACACGACGGGCTCGCGGTTTTAGAGCCTTCAGCCGGATTGGGCTAGAGTTCGCGAGTTTAGAACTCTTGTCCGCTCTTCTTTCCTATCTGTAACTGCAACTCAAGCAAGTTTTCCTGCCTGCACCGTGACCATCTACGGTGTAAGTAAAATAATCTTTAATCAACCGCTACGTGTCCGTGCCTAATTCTAGTCTGCTGGCCTGCATTCCCCGACCCGCGTGCCAGGGCTGCTTGCCACAGCCCGCCGTGCGCCCCCGAGGGCCTTGGACCGCTCCCGGCCCGCACAGCAGGCAGACCTGGAAAGGTTAGAAAAGTGGGCAGTATACAATAGGATGCACTACAACAAGGACAAATACAGAGTGCGGCACCTAGGGCATAAACATTTCCAGCACATCTACTGGCTGGGAAGGGACGCTCCCCGCAGCCCAGAAGGGGAAAGGGAGCCACAGAAGTGGAAAGGGATCTCGGAGTTATAGTGGACTCCAAGATGAACATGCGTCGTCAGTGTGATGAAATCATCAGCAAAGCTAACCGCACTTTATCATACATCAGCAGTTGGAGTACTGCGTCCAGTTTTGGGTGCCGTACTTCAAGAAGGATGTTGATAGACTCGAGAGGGTCCAGAGAAGGGCCACTCGTATGGTTAGGGGCATACAGGACAAGCCATATGAGGAGAGACTGAGGGACCTGGACCTCTTCAGCCTCTGCAAGAGAAGGCTGAGAGGTGGTCTTGTGGCGATCTACAAATTCATTAGGGGGGGCGCAGCAAGGGATCGGAGATGCTCTGTTCACCAGGACGCCTCTTGGGGTAACAAGGAACAATGGTCACAACCTGACAGAGAGCAGATTTAGTCTATATATCAGGAAAAACTTCTTCATGGTAAGGGTGGCTAAAATTTGGAATGGGCTTCCAAGGGTCTACTGTGGGGGTCTTTAAGAGAAGGCTGGATAGGCATCTGGCTGGAATCATCTGACCCCAGCGCTCTTTCCTGCCCAGGGCAGGGGGTCGGACTCCATGATCTGTTGAGGTCCCTTCTGACCCTAGCATCTATGAATCTATGAAATATAGTGAATCATCTCCCATAGCTTGTGCATAATAATTCTCTTAATACATCTCAGTATATTATCAAGTTTTGTTTTGTTTTTTTAATGGCAGCATATTGTTGACTCATATTCAGTTTGGGATCCACTATAATCCCCGGATCCTTTCTGCAAGCTAAACAGCAGTTTCCCCATTTTATATCTAGTAATTAGATTGTTCCTTCCTAGATTCTCTCTTTCCAAAGTACCTTGTACTCTTTTTATTAAATTTTAACCAGCTTATTTCAGATCTCTTTTACAGTTTAGCAAAGTTATTTGCATCCTATATCTGTCCTCAAAAAATCTGTATCTGCTCCCACTCAGCTTGATGTCATCTACAAATGTATTATGTATACACCCAACTCCATCCTCTAAGCCATTACAGTGAGGATATTAAAGAGCACTGGTTCCAGGATGGACTGTCTCCCAGGGAAACTCAGTCAATACCCTCTTCCAATTTGCCACCGAATCATTAAGGATTACTCTTTGACCATGATTTTCCATGAATCCACCTCAAAGTCTTTTCATCCAGATCCAGGCTGAAAACTTCTAAGTGGCTAGGGGCCACACACTCTACAGACCATGCCAGTGGGGCTGCACGCTGTGCAGGCTCCACCAGCAGGGACTATGAGCCCTTGGGGCACACACCATGTGGATGCTCCCCCACGCCATCTCCACTGCACTATGTGTCCATGCGGCCTGGGCCTGACCCTCAGAAACCCACAATGCAGTACCTGCCCCAAGGCAGCAGCAGAAGCCAGAGGAAGAGGAAGTGCAGAGACTTCAACTGCTGTTGCATCTGAAACAATGTGGGGGAGAGTGGCTGGGCAGGAGCCACAGAGCCCCAACCACCTGCAGCCCCTGGGTCGCCTGCTGGACAGTCCCGATCTAGACCCTATTTTCCTACAGCGTCATACAGGTCAAAGCATTGCTGTCACTATAAGGAGTTTGGTTTAACAGGGCAGATGATTTTACTTTTACAATGATGACCAATGATGTAAGACAGTGGTTCTCAGCCCTTCTAGATTCAGCTCACCCCTCCAAAACTTATTGGTTTTAGATTTGGAAGCACCCATGGTTGAGAACCACTGTTGTACTTCAACCTCCACTTACTTCAGCGGTTCTTAACTAGAGCGGTGTGCCACAGCCAGGTGAAACTGCCCCACACACAGTGAGGGCAGACTAGGGCAACTGATGACAGCTAGGAGGGGCAAAGCTGAGCTCTTCAATAAGTTTTTTGCTTCCATATTCCTGAATATGGATCAGGACAAATCTCCCAATTGGATTACAGGGAAGCACAAGAGGGAAATCGGCCCACCAACTGTTAGTGCTGACTTAGTGAAGGGACCCTTGGAGGGGCTGGATGTGTTTAAGTCAGCAGGCCCAGATGATCTTCATCCAAGGGTGCTGAAGGAATTGGACAGTGTCATAGCAGAACCACTGGTAAGATTGTTCGAGCACTCATGGGACTCAGGTCAGGTCCCAGAGGATTGGAAAAGGGCCAATGTGGTCCCTATTTTCAAGAAGGGAAGGAAGGAGGATCCTGGTAACTATAGGCAGTTAGCCTCGCCTCTACCCTCAGCAAAACCTTTGAAAAAATTATTAAGCATCAGATTTGTGGGAGTCCAGCAGGAAATATAATGCTGAAGGGCAATCAGCACAGGGTCACAGAAGGGAGATCCTGCCTGACTAACCCTGTTTCTTTTTATGACCAGGTCACAAAATGCTTAGATGCAGGGGAAGAGGTAGAGGTCATCTACCTGGATTTTAAGAAAGCCTTTGATACGGTATCTCATCCTGTTCTGATAAATAAACCAAGCAGCTGTGACACAGATGATTACACGGTCAGGTGGGTGGCAAACTGGCTAATGGGACATACCCAGAGAGTGGTAGTGGATGGGCTGGCACCGACCTGGAAAGATGTAGGCAGTGGAGTTGTCCAAGATTTGGTCCTTGGACCAGTGCTGTTCAATGTCTTCATCAGTGACTTGGATGAGGGCACAGAGAACACTCTGTCCAAATTTGCGGATCATACCAAATTATGGGGTAAAGTAAACACACTAGTGGGCAGGGAACAAATCCAGGAGGATCTGGACAGGTTGGAGAAGTGGGCAGAGCAAAACAGGATGCAATTCAATAAGGACAAATGCAAAGTGCTGCACCTAGGGAGAAGGAATCACCAGCAAATTTACAGGCTGGGGGATGACCCTCTCTTCAGCACTGTAGCAGAAAGGGATCTCAGAGTCAGTCGACTCCAAGATGAACGTAAGTCTTCAATCTGACGATCAGTAAAGTTAACTGTACTTTATCATGCATTAGCAGGTGCATCACAAACAGGTCCAAGGAGGTGATACTTCCCCTCTGTGCGGCACTGGTGAGGCCGCAGCTAGAGTACTGTGTCCAGTTTTGGGCGCCATACTTCAAGAGGGATGTGGATAACCTTGAGAGGGTCCAAAGGAGGGCCATACGTATGGTTACGGGCCTGCAGGTAAGGCCCTATGAGGAGAGATTGAGGGACCTGAATCTCTTCAGCCTCCGCAAGAGAAGGCTGAGAGGTGATCTTGGGGCCATCTACAAATTCATCAAGGAGGTGGGGGGCAGCAAGGAACAAGAGCTGCTCTGATTACCAGGGCACCCCTTGGAATAACTAGAAATAATGGCCACAACCGACAGAGAGCAGATTTACGTTAGACACCAGGAAGAACTTCTTTACGGTTAGTGTTGCCAGAATCTCGAATGGGTTTCCAAGGGAGGTGGTGCTCTCCCCTACCTTGGGGGTCTTTAAGATGAGACTGGACAAGCACCTGGCTGGGGTCCTCTGACCCCAGCACTCATGCCTGCCCAGGGTAAGACTCGATGATCTGCTGAGGGCCCTTCTGACCTTAATATCTATGAATCTATGAACCTCAGTGCACAGCCAGAGAAGTCTAAAGCAGGCAGCGGCACCCGCTCAATTCCCTGCATGCTCCTCACAGAAACAGAAGAGAACCGTTCTACACGCCTCTGGGAGGAGCGGGGGGAGGCAGGAGGAGCTCTGATCAAGAACGGCTGCGGCAAGAATGGGCACTGCTGCCTACTTCGGGTTTATCTGACCACGCACTGCAGTGCACGGGCCAGTTCCACCTGGCTGCTGTAGTATCTCTGAAACAGCCTCATGACACCCCAGGAGGGTGCAGCACCCAGCTGAGAAACACTGACCCCTCAAGTAGTGTCCCTCTTTGCTCCCCAGTACCAATGCTTACAACCGTTTGTATATGACACAACTCTTGATCCCCACCGTGCCCACTTCACCCCCTCGTACCCTTGAAAGGCTCTTCCTGCAAAATATTAACCAACAAACGCAGGAGGGGTTAACAGGCATTTGGTGAGGGCAGGACAAGAACAGAACTTTTGTTTTATGCTTCATCCTCCTCCCTTACCCTTCAGCGATCGCTTCATTCCTACACTGCGAATTCTTAGCAGCAGAAGCCACGCCGTCTTGTACGTTTGCTAGCACATTTGGGGTGTTACTGCAACATAAATAACATTTGTCACATTCCTTTACGCAGCCTTTTACAACATGCACGAATGAAGCAGAGAGGGCACAGTCTACGAGAGAGCATCGTGAATATGATTAGAGACTCCTACAAGGGACCCGATGCTTCCGTGTCATCGGCCGTATTTACTCGAATCTAAGACAACCCTGAATTTAAGACAACCCCCCTATAATTAGATTCTATAGATGGAAAATGTATATGTTTGTTATAATGTTCCAGGTATAGAATTGGAGGGTTGTCTTAAATTTGTCCCTCCCGGGGCACAGCACATGCAGGCTCAGCCCTGGCTAGGCCGTGCAGCACTGCTGGAGCTGCGGATCAGCCTGGCCGCGGACACTTCCACGACAGCTGCTCAGCGCCTGTCAGCACCACAGCAGCTGCCTCCCCACCCCGACCTGCGTACACGAATCTAGGATTTCACAGACGTTAGGGCTGGAAGGGACCTTGAAGATCAAGTGCAGCCCCCCTGCCCCAATGAAGGGTGCCCCCCCCCATGATGATGGGGGGGGGGGGGGGGGGGGGGGGGGGGCGTAGTCTTAGATTCCAGTAGATGTGGCACTTCCCATCAGCGGACAAGATGACACGACGGGGCTCGGCGGAGCTGTATTTTCTCACATACAATGCGCTCTTTTCCCCCAAAAGAAACCCGGCTGCCAAAAAAAAAGCACAGCCACGCATGCAGGACAGCGATAGCGCCGCTCACCGGCAAATCGCGCAATCAAGGCAGGGCGGACACACGTGCAAGGGGGCGACCACGGTCCGTGCGAGCCGTCGCGCTCTACATGCGT